CCCTTTCGCCTCCCTGCATTGTGCCTACATATGCAAATTAACCGCCATCTTGTTGGCAGTTAACTGCCAATCTTAGTTGGCAGTTAATTTGCATACAGCCCTGATTAGCCAAAGAAAAGGGTATTGGTCGTACGCCAATTACCATTTTGTCTTTTATTAGATAGGATAACTCATAGGTTTACTTATTTTTTTTGCTATTGTAAGTAGGATCTTTTACATAGTTAGAAATTCTAAAATAATTAACTTATAAAGGCCAATAGTAATTTTGAATTGTTTTTACATTTGATTGTTTAAAACAGTATTGATTTATTTTATTGTTTAGAATTGATTTTAGTTGATTCCCTTGCATTTTATAAATAGTTAGTCATATCATCTACATAAAATAGATAATTCTATTTCCCTTGTTTTTTTCCTACTTTTTTGTACTTTGTGCAATTTACTTGACCACCTCTAATTGTTTTGATTGGAACTCAAGTATGAAACATAGCCTAATAAGAGGGGAATTGAGGTTACAATAGATATCTTTTACCATCTTAAAAAATATTCATTTTTTATTTTTTTAAATTTTATTTAAAAACTATTCAATTTAGTCAAATACTTTTAATTATCTACAAAAATTATATGATATTTTATAATAGTATTGATTTGATAAATTATATTAATCAATTTAACAATATTGAAAACATGCTTGAATTCCTGGAATAAACACTCCATTAAGTCATGTTCCATTTATTTTTAAATATATTGCTAAAGTATTTTGTTATGAATTTAGATCAACATTTATAAGTGATATTCTGTTGATTTTATGTATTCTGTAAAATTATTGTCATGTATTAGTATTAATATATATTCAATTCATAGTATGAATTTGGAAGGTCTCCCTGGGAATATTTTCCTAAAATTTCAGTTAGCTGCTTTTTAGAAATTTACTAAAATTACCTCCAGAAAATTCCCTCATCCCCTAAGGCTTTGATTCAGCTTGTTTTATTCAGTTTTTGTTATTATTTTACTGTTTTGAGTGACATTCTTTTTTTTTTTTTTTGAGTGACATTCTTTATGGAAATCATTATGTGTAGATCATTTTTTCTCTCAGGTCAGTTTAGGGAAATTATATTTTCCTATAAATTATCTATTTTGAACAGATTTTCAGATTATTTGCATATTTCAAAGCAAATTTATTTCACTTGATTCTTAAATTTCTATTTCTATGATCATTTCTGTTATTTTAAATTTTCCACTTTTTCTTTTTTTATTAGGTGACTGAAGAGTTTTTCTGGTTGGTTGATATTTGTGAAAGAATAACCTTTGGCATTTATATATTAGTTAAAGTATTCTGTGTTCCAACTCATTGCTTTATTGTAAATATATCTCTATGCGTGGCTGTAAATTTTGGTTCACTAATATTGCTGCTACGAAGACTCTGGAACAAAATCATTAACATTTGACTTTGAATCACTGAACAGACTACATTGAGGGACCTAAGAATATACACAATGAATTCCTAGAATGTAATTAATAAGGGGTTAGATTTGAGTAGCACTCTATATTAAAAAAAAGAAATCATGCTCCTTTGTCCATAGGCTGATTAATAACTTTGGGGGTTCATATTTTCACATAAATTACTTAATGTGTCTAAATTTCATATAATGTCCATTATCCTTTATCTTAAGTTGCAGTTCACTGACTTAAAATTAGAATGTGACATTTTAAATAACATCCCAAAAATGTTACAGTAAGTAAACTAATATGTCTTTATTAGTCCTTGAGAATCAATTTCAAAAGCCTTTAGATTCTGATGAAAATTATGCAAATTTCAGCATACTATCATCCTTATAGTTTATGTTAATTTGACATTAATGTTAGCTGCCTATCTTGCTAACAATAATCCATCTGAACTAGCAGGCTGGAATACCAATTACGGAAATGAGTAGAGCTCATCCTTGAAGCTTCTTTTCTCTGTTACAAGTAGACATATATCAGCACACAGGGAATAGCACAGATGTATCAAAGTCTTTCAAGTATCCAGGCATCTTTGTATAATGGAGCAGGCTGTGGTTGACATACTAAATCTTAAAAAGGAAAAGAAGTCACTTTGCATTGAGAACAAAAAGAGCTGAAAAGAGAAAAATTGGCGTAAAGATATTATTATACGTTGAGAGTCATTATTAGAGAATGTGGACCAAGTGGAGTTTCTTTTTCGCAGTGGGTTAATTTTATTTCATTGAATTTGTTTGTGAGGAATTCCGAGTACTAATTGATTTTTTTTAATGAGGTTTTTCTTTTTCTTTTTTCCTGCCTCTTGATTCTGGCTGCTGAGTATGAATTACTTTGTTATTTTTACTCTCATTATTGGCATATAAAGAAAGTAAATACTTTTTTTAAAACTGATTTTTGCTATTCAAAACACATTGCTATTTTGTTTTCAAAGGAAGAGTCAGCTGGAATCTGTGAGTTTTTGTACACGTATTTTCTTACAGTGGTGCTACTTTTCTTTCTATACTAATATTAGGGCAATATGCAAATTGGTTG